TAAAATAAATTGCATAAATAAAATAATGATAAATAATTTGCATCAATAAATTAAACGCTTTTTTATTGCATATCTCTAATTTCTATAATAAAAAATACACCCATTATTTCATCATTCTTTTCATCTTTTATTTTTCTCTTTTTGAATTATTCTTTTTATCTTCTTTCATTTTATATTCTCAACATTCTACTTTTATTCTTTTCATCATCTTCTACTTCATAATTTCACTTTTTTCTTTTATATCATTCTTTCTCTTCATTTTTCTCTTATTTGCTTTTTTTCGTTGCCTATTAATTCTATTATGATTATTATCTTTTAATAATGATATAAATATTTTCATAATTACATTTATACAATTGATATGATGTTAATTAATGACATCGTTCATATCATCTCATTTGTTGATTAATATAATTCTTCAAATTACCATATTTAATTTGATGATTTCATTGAAATTTAATTATTTATTAAATATATTAAGAATATATTATCTTGATGTTGATATTCTCTTCAATTAATATAAATATATAATGTCAATACATGATGATTTCCAGTTATTTATTTTCATCATAATTAAAATTAAATCATCCAATGTGATGATGATATTATCATAATTTATTATCTTTCATTTAAAATTACGATTTAATTTATTTTCATTTATTTTAATTGATTAATGATAATATTAAGATATTCACTATCAATATCAATAATGTTATTTTTTATATTGATGTTTTATTGTTGAATGACGCTCTACTATATTTTCTATGATTGAGTTCATTTTCATTTTAATATATATTTTAGTTATTTATTTTATTTTATGTGATAATTTAATAATATTAATGTATTCTTTATCATTACTACATTGAAGTTTATCATTTTTATTATATTTTCTATTTGTTCATTTCTTAATTTATTATTTAATTTATTATTTATTAAATTAATTCAAAACAATACAAACAAATCAATTAAATTTTTATTTGTTTGATTTATTGTGTTTTATTTTATTATTGTTT